TTGAGATTTTTTCCAAAAAAAAAACAAAAGTTTCTGAAACTTATTTATAAATGTATGACTAAATGTTATTGGAACCGAGTGTCATAATTATTTAAGTATAAAAATTGAAAATTATACTACCTCCGTCCCTTAAAACTTTGTCAAAGTTGATCGGCACGGAGAATAATAAAGTAAAAACTGTGTGGTTAAGGTTTGTGCAGAGGAGAGAGAAATAACAGAAACCACAAAATAATTGATTAAAAGGGAAAGTGACAAAGTTTTTTGAGACGTCCCAAAAAAGAAAGATGACAAAGTTTTAAGGGACGGAGGGAGTATAATTTACTACCACAATCGCTAAACTTAAAGGTTACATTTTGATAAACATATACTAGTATTTTGTAATCGTAATATGTAATCTATTCTAATATAAAAGCAAAAGAATTTTGAGTAATAGTGTTCCCTCCAAGAAATGTCAACATCAAGTTTTATTTTCATTTTTATTGGATACTTTATTTTGATTAAAATACTAATTTTCTATTGGTTGAAATGGGTGGTAGGAATAGTCAAATACTTAAACCTTATCTATTCTAATATAAAAGCAAAAGAAGTTTGAGGAATAGTGTTTCCCCCAAAAATGTCATCATCAAGTTTTATTTTAATTTTATTGGATACTTTATTTTGATAAAAATACTAATTTTCTATTGGTTGAAATGGGTGGTGATAATAGTCAAATACTTAAACCTTATTGGTTGAAATTGGTGGTTGGAATAGTCAAATACTTAAACCTTATCTATTCTAATACAAAAGCAAAAGAAGGTTGAGGGATAGTGTCCTCCCCAAGAAATGTCAGCATCAAGTTTTATTTTAATTTTTATTGGATACTTTATTTTGATTAAAATACTAATTTTTTATTGGTTGAAATGGGTGGTGGGAATAGTCAAATACTTGAACCTTATTGGTTGAAATAGGTGTTGGGAATAGTCAAATAATTAAACCTTATTGGTTGAAATGGGTGGTGGGAATAGTCAAATACTTAAACCTTATCTATTCTAATATAAAAGCAAAAGAAGTTTGAGAAATAATGTTCCCTCCAATAAATGTCAACATCAAGTTTTATTTTAATTTTTATTGGATACTTTATTTTGATTAAAATACTAATTTTCTATTGGTTGAAATGGGTGGTGAGAATAGTCAAATACTTAAACCTTATTGGTTGAAATGGGTGGTGTGAATAGTCAAATACTTAAACCTTATTGGTTGAAATGGGTGGTGGGCATAATGAAGCTTATTGATTGTTTCCAAATTCCTAAAAGATTGCAATGGACTTATCAATAAATATATATTATTTTGTAATATATATTATTGCTCAAGTTGGTAGTATTATTTTGTAACAATTGATTTCACCAAAAATTGGTTGAAAAAAACATATCGTAATTTTATAATTGTAGGTTGGACAAAAAAGAAATAATTCAAAAGACATTGATGGAAGAGATATTTTTTAAATAAAGTGCTGTATTTATTAGAGTTGTGCTATTTAAATAAAAAAGGCCGTCTTAAAATTATCAAATTCATAGAAGTCTATGTGTTTGGTGTGTGTTACATCTTTGTTGTCTTTTGATATACCGGGTCGAGAAGGACTGGAGTGGAGATTGGATGTTGGGGACAAATATTGGGTAAACAATAACCATTTGGAATTCGTTTATGGCGATTTGGGTTTCGGGTTGTTCAACCTCATGAATGAGTTCATCGGTCTCCCAACAATTTGAAATATTTAAAGGTAGGTGGTGTAGTTGTATTTAATGAGATTGGGTTACTATTAATGGCACATGACATGTTTGTTCGCATGTGTGTGTACAAGTGTACAATTTTTAAAATTGGTGGAAGTGTTGTGTTTAAAGTGTCTTTAAAAAAAATTTAAAAATGTTTTAAGTGTGTTTTGTTAAAAATGCAAACAAACATCTTCCATATTTTTTGGAGAATGAAAAATGATAAACATAATTTTAGGATGCTTATTTGTTAAAAGTTATCCATCGAAAATTATAACATAAACTAGAAATGAAAAAGATTTTTAACTATAAACGTATGGAGTCCAGATCTGTAGAGTTTCGATGATGTGCTTCACATAAAGTCGGTTTTAGGATGCTTATTTGTCAAAAAATGTGGATTTGACGATCGATTTATTAAAAATGAGATTAATCTTTTATTAAAAAATTATCAAAACAAATCTAGAAATGAAAATCGATTAGAAACAAGAACACGGATCTTCCAGATCTGTGGGCTTTGGACGATGTTGTTCATATAAAATCGGTTTGTCATTGCTTATTCGTGATAAACGTCAAAGTGAGATGTGGTTTGTGAGGTGGTTGGATTTAGATCTTACCCCTGACATGTAAATCTAGGCGGAAGAATGAAACGTTTACGGATCCATGGCCATGGAACTTCCAGATCTGTAAAGTTTGTGTGTTGTAGTTATATAAAAAAAGTTTTAGTTTGGTTATTCTTGGAAAACATGAAATCGATGAAGGCTTGCATGTAGAAGAAGGAAAATGAACTTACCGTGCAGTCTGACTAAATGCGCAGATTGACGCCGTATTGTGCCGATGTTCGTTCGGTTGTGACTTCACGGTGTGATAAGGGATGAGAACATGACGATGATGTTCGGCGACCACTTCGTTTTTCCAGTCGATTGGATAAACTGCGGTTGAGCGTCATGGTCGGAGTTTAGAGAGAGGGAAGATCGATCTGGCTAGGTGTCAGTGAAGAAAGGGGAGAGTTTGTGGGAGGGATCGTTTTCAGAGTCGTTATAAACGCACTTACATCGGGAGGGGTTTACATGGATTATTGGGCTACTTCTGCGGCCCGTTTAGTTGCTGAACACGGAAAACACATAGGCTGCTCTGGATCGGCCCGTACAAATAGCTTAAGGTTTCTTCAGTTTAGATGAATGCTCAAATTTGGACATTTAAGTTAATACGTATGAAGGAGTACTCCCTCCGTATTTTAAAGCTTGCTACACTTTCCTATTTGGGATGTATTTTTTTGTAAAAAATAGAAAAAAATATGAATATAAAATCTATATTTTATTCGCTCTTTTCTAATTATTCGTATATTCTACTTTTTAAGAATTTTGCATTGTAATTCTATATGATGTAGGTTTTCATGTATTTTATTCATTTGAAAACGGATTTAATATTTATTAATTTTGACATTATTTTTAGCATTTTTTATACTTTTATTTATATATTTTGAAAATGCATATGTGTTTTTATAAAAAAAATCAATTATGTGAAGTTATTTAGAAAACGAACCATCATAGTGGCTCAAAATGCCTTGATTGAATGTGTTTTAAAAGTAAATGTACTTAATGACACCATTACTTTTTTTCGTATATGGTCAACACACATGTGTGAAATAATATAATGATCTCTTTAAATACTTCCCATAAATTTATATTCAAGTATAGTTTAAAAATGAAATAACACACTTTTACATTATTGCACACCCCCTATTTTGCATGTTTACTCGGGCAATCATTTAGAAAATGAAAAAATATTTGCTAAATCATTTGTGCATTGTGAGGGTGAATTTACTAGAAGGAAGAATTTTAATTTTAACACGAGTTAGTGCGGGACAGAAGATGTTAATTTCGAAGCATTTCTTAACACCTTAAGACGTTAACCACTGCAATTCCGGATACTAGAATACCTAAACATGACTTATTGTGTCATGAATGTAAATAAAATCAAAAATAGTTGGTGTCCCGTGTTGCATGGTTTGTTGTTGAAAATACTTATTAGTAGTTATTGTCAATTTTACGTGGTTGTGTCAGGGGCAATCAATCCGTCGAGCGTTAAACAATCACATTGCATACAATGACCGTGGAACAAAAATTGAAACAGAGAGTATTGTGGGTCCATAAAATGTGTGAACTACTCAGTAATCATTGATAGATCATACTGAATATGTTTCATTTTTACGTCAAACTTTATAATTGTACAGACAACAATTGTAAACGATTCAAGTAAAATTAGAAGTTTTTTAACTTTAAATTTGATTAAAATTAATTGCATCGTGAAAATTTCAAACCGTGCATCGCACGAGTGCTCTACTAGGATCGAATAGAGTCGATTAAGGCCCGATTGGCCCATACGCCCAATACAATCGGGCCGAACCGTGCATCATACGGGTTCGGTCTAGGATCGAATAGAGCCGGTTAAAGCCCGATTGAAGAATTATCATATTTGAGTATTGTTTAAATAATGCCATAACACACTTTCACATATTTGCACACCCTCTGATTTGCCAATTTATCCAGGCAAATCGTGTAAAAAATGCAATTTTTATAAATGCATAGTCACCATATTACTTGTGATGTTTATACTTAGACTTATTTCAGTCTCAAACCAAACCAAACTTAAACAAACCAGACCAGACCATACTTGGATATTAGAAATAGTGGAAGCACCTATTTGAACATTTTCCCACAAATTCAGATTCAAGTATAATTCAAGAATGACATAACACACTTTCACATATTTTACTCCCTTTTTTTTTACATATTTAGAGAGACAATTCGTCTAAAAAATTCGTGTAAATTTAAAAATTCTGATTGGTGATGAAGATGAAGGAACCATTGACAAAATGACAAGACTTAGAATGTTGTATTCAAAGAAATGTTCAACAATGTTTAGGTCTACTTTAAATGCATATTTATAATGTGATGGTTTCAACGTATTCGTTGGATGTTTTTGATCTTTTAAGTAATGTTTAGTACTCTCATTTTGACCATAATATTATAAGTGTGTTTCATTTAATGCTTTTATGTATATATCAGTATTACATAAAGATAGATGATATCATCAATTGATAGTGTGATTTGAATGACTAGTGTGATTTGAATGACTAAATGTGATGCTTTTATGCATCGCACGTGTGAGTTTACTAGTTATTTTAAAAAACAATAAGCTAATTTAGTCCGTATTGATTTTTAATAGCCTTGGGCTTGTTTCCAAATTAAACATCGTTCATTTATATCGGAGCCCAAACATTTCTACATTTCTACTACGTACGGAGTATGATTTATTTCCACTGGGGAGTACGCCTTAAACTTTCACCTGCGTCATTCTCCTAATCGGATCTCCGTTCTTCCGCATCAAGACAGAAGGAGCCTTCAGCCAAGCCTTCCGCATCAGATCGGATCCCCGTCCGCTGACTGCCTTCTGCTGTTCGTCACTTCGTTTGCCTACCCTCTCTTTCTCTCATTACTGTGCGAATACTGTTGGGTCATACCCTCCCCCAGGTTTGTAATTTATTGGTTGTTATCTTCCCTTTACAGCCTGATACATTTCAAGATTGGGTTTGTAAAAGGCCCTTTTTATGCTTACGCCTGCTGCTTTTGCTTGTCTACAGAGAAGAATTAAAGGGGAAGCCCTTGTCTGAATGCATTTTTTATTCATTTCATTATGTTGAAGGAGTACTGGAATAACTATTTGTCTAAAACCCGTAAATATAAAAGGATGTATAAATTATTATTGGTTAATTTGAGCATATTTGGTTATTCCTGATTAGTGGTTTAACTAATTATGTAGATGATAAATATATGAAATAATTTTGTGATGATCTTACTAATTTTGCACTTCAAAAGTCAAGAAAAACAGGCCAATATGATATTAAGGAGGTTTCTGAAAATTTCTGGTCTGATGGTATGGTCCATTTAAGCCTAATATGAATTGGTCTGTTCTTGTAGACGTCTTGTCCATGTGTATTTTACAAGTGTCAAAGTCTAGTATGCTCTAGTCTGGTGCGGGATTGAAATCAGTTCAATTAAAAACATCCAAAGAAATACAAGTATTCTTTTGAAGTTTACATTATAATACGGTCTACGTTGAATATGGTATTTTTGTGTGGTTTTATTTGATTTATCTCATTTTTATGTTTTTTTGTGTTATATATAAATCTCATTAATATGATACGTGAATGAAAAAAAAAATCGTCCAGTCATGATTTATGCATTTTTGCTGATTGAACCTCCGCACTATGAAATATTGTCAAACTATAATTAAGTCTTGCTTTATTTATGAATATACTCTCCATTTTCTAGATCTTGGCAAAAAGTATAGTTCTGATCTTTTAGCAGACCTACACTTTTGAAGATGTGTATCAAACAGTACAGATATTATTTTGATATTTGAGACAGTCATCTGCTTTCTAAAATTCCCAGGAGTAAAACATAACATTTTTTTTTCAAATTTGATTATCATTGTTTTCTTCTCAAAATAGGACCCATGCATATTTAGGTAAGTTTTTTTAATTCTTTTAATAGGACTAAATGATTCTATTTAGGGAAGAGAACGTATTTAGTCCTATTTTAATATTTTACCAATGTTTTACTTCTATTTGGATCAATTTCTTTTTAGTATGTTATGAAGTAATGTTTAGAACTGAGTCAACTGACTAATACTGTTTTATAGTTTGCTTACCTTCCAGTATCTTTTTTGTTATCAGGAGTATCTATTTATGTCACATTAAAATATCTGTGTTTTTGATTATTTATATTATGTATGATATTAATATATCTTCGTTTTCTCCTAAGATTTTATATTACTCCGGATTGCTTAGGCAGAAGAAATGTTTATGCAGAAAGGCATGGTTGGCATAAAAAAGTAAACATTTGTAGTCCTATTTATATAATGAGAGTACTAGCTGTTCTCTCACCTCCATTCTTTGGGTAGGGATAAATTTCAAAAAAGAGAATTATGTTATTGTAAACCATAAAACAACTAATGTTGTAGTAAGTAATTACCTGTAGAATTCATCGAAAACAACAAAAGACTAATACCCATTCAAAAATTTGAAATCAATTTCTCTTTTGCAGGGTGAGAAATGGCAATAACATCAACTACCACTCTATCATTTGGTTTAACCACATCTATTGGGCCCAAGAATGGTCTAGTCTCACAATCTAAAGCCCTAAATCTGAAGCTAAACTCTACTAAGGTCTGTTTTAGGAGTTTTGTTGGACTCAAGGCAGCAGACTCATCATCTACAATAAGCTGTGAGTCATCATCGTCATTTTTTGGGAGTGAAAGCATCACAGCTCTTCTACGCAAACCCTCCTTCACTGCAAATGCCCAAACAGAAAGGAGAATCTCTGTTCAACAGCCCCAGGCATCATACCGAGTGGCCATTCTCGGGGCAGCGGGTGGCATAGGTCAACCACTAGCCCTTCTTGTCAAGATGTCTCCACTAGTCTCAGATTTACACCTTTATGACATAGCAAACGTCAAAGGGGTGGCGGCAGACATCAGCCACTGCAACACTCCTTCACGTGTGTCGGATTTCACGGGACCATCTGAATTAGGAAACTGTCTCAAAGACGTTGACGTGGTCGTCATACCCGCTGGTGTTCCGAGGAAGCCGGGGATGACACGTGATGACCTGTTCAACATAAATGCAAACATTGTGAAGACGTTGGTCGAGGCTGTAGCTGATCACTGCCCTGGTGCCTTCATCCACATCATCAGCAACCCAGTCAACTCGACAGTCCCGATCGCAGCAGAGGTTCTGAAGCAAAAGGGGGTTTATAATCCCAAGAAACTGTTTGGCGTCACAACTCTTGATGTTGTAAGGGCAAACACTTTTGTCGCTCAAAAGAAAAACCTCAGGCTCATTGACGTTGATGTCCCGGTCATCGGGGGTCACGCTGGGATTACGATTTTGCCCCTCTTGTCGAAAACAAAGCCGTCTGCTTCATTTTCTGATGAGGAGGTTGGTGAGTTGACTGTGAGGATCCAGAACGCGGGGACAGAAGTTGTTGAGGCAAAGGCAGGGGCAGGGTCCGCCACACTGTCGATGGCCTACGCTGCTGCAAGGTTCGTGGAATCTTCGCTGCGTGCTCTTGACGGGGATAGTGATGTGTACGAGTGTGCTTTTGTGCAGTCTGATCTCACAGAGCTTCCATTTTTTGCATCAAGGGTCAAATTGGGAAAGGATGGTGTTGAGGCATTGGTCCCGTCTGATCTGCAAGGACTGACGGAGTCTGAGGAGAAGGCGTTGGAAGCCCTAAATCCTGAGTTGAAGGCGAGTATCGAGAAGGGGATCAAGTTTGCTCAGAAAGAACCACTTGCTGCTTAGAAAATTATGCCTACTTATTATTGCCTTACTGGCCAAACGTATACAATTATTTTTTGGGAGTGCATTGGGACACAGTTTTGCAGACAAGGTGATGTTAATGTCTTCCCTTTCCCCCCTTTTGATGTTTGGTGGATAATAATAATACATTCTCATGTAATCATCAGTGTGCCAAACTGTTGAAACATTCTCCTGTTTGTTGTATGTTTTTTTCTTCTTTTTGAAGGCTCACTTGGTCAGCACCACTTTTGTATGAGACCATCCATCCTATGAAACAAGAAGTGTGTCATTGTTTTCTGTTTTATAGATTTTAACTTCGTTTCTTTTCATAAACTACAGCAAATCAACCGATGGCTTATTTTGTTATTCTGGGCTCTAATTATTATGGAGTATAGTTCTTTTGTAAATAACTATTTTAATATGTTTTAAGCCTATTACTCCGTATAACTTGATTTATCTTTTATTTGTCCCCATAAACTCATTAGTTTTTCATTTGGTCCAAGTCATCAGTATGATCTCAAGCGGTGAGGTGACTATGAATAGGGGTGGACTCGGGCCGGGCCAACTGGCCCGGAACCGGACTGGCCCACTACTGTGTGGGCCCAGATCGGCCCGGTGAACCGGTTGGTGCCCGGTTCGGGCCACCCGGCCCGGTGAGGTAGGCGGGCCGGGCCTGCTAAATAGTGAACCGGCCTGGCCGGTTCGGGCCCGGTCCGGGCCTTTTTTTTTGAATTTTTTTAAGTTTTTGGGTTGGGCTGGGTATGATGGGCCATTTGAGGTGGTTTGGGGGTGAGGGGGGAGGGTTGGGGGTTAATTAGGAAAAGCAAAAAAAAAAATTGAACCGAGGCCCGGCCCGGACTGGACCTGGGGTTACCCGGGCCGGTTCCGGGCCTCCCCTTTCATGAACCGAGGCCCGGCCGGGCCCAGGCCCGAACCGGGCCCGAATCGGAACCGGTCCATCCCTAACTATGAAAACGTCTTGATTTGGCTCATTAAGTATGTTTCTGGTTGAGATGTTCTGATATGTGGGTGGCAAGTTGAGGCTGAAGAATTTTCCATTGAAGAAAGTTTTATAAAATTGCTGAATGGGCTAAAAAGGTTCTTCTATGATTTAAAACCCACCATTTAAGCCTTTTTGTTGGCAAAAGTATCACTTAAACACATTTACTCTTAAAAAAGAGTTGATTAGGCCAACTATCTGGACGAAACCCTTCTCTATAGCTGGTCTCATGTTGACATGGATGTTTAACTCTTTTTCTTAATTTCATTGTCTTCTGCTTTTTATAAAGTTGGACGGATGGGATTGAGTACATATAGTCATATACGGATGCAAGTGAAAGGCAAGGGAAGGAATAGCCGAATAGGAAGTTAGGAATGATGGCCCTTTGATTTGTACAGATCAGATCTAGAAGACTAGAACATGTAAATGTATATTTGTGTACATTCAATCAATGAGTTACTACACTGATCATGATTCATGAATTATACTAGTATTGTACATTTCCATCTACCCATGCATCATCTTTATTTCATCATATTTGGTCTGATCTTGCTGCTGCCAACCTAGCTATAAGGTCATCATAATCCGGTAGCTTTGGATGGATGTGTGCATTTGGATTCCAACAAGTGTCAATATTATATGAAGCTGCTCTAAGATGACCACCTTTTGGTGTAGTTTCACCTCCAACACTCGAACCAAAATCTATTGATCTACGCTTTGGCAACACTTTGCTGCACCCACCTTCTTCATCTTGTTTATCTGAAGCACCCTTCTTCTTGCTGTAATGCTCCAACAATTTGTCCAGCCTTTTCTCTTCATGGTCACCATTTGCTGCCTCTCTTACCTTTCTAACTGATTTGGGCTTCACTCTCTCCTCTTCTTCAACCCTATCATTATCAGCATTATCCAAAGTGCCATTCTTTTTAGGTTCATGTGGTTTAGTGTATGGAGGAGGGATGGACTGGTAATGCAAGGGAACCTTCACATGAGCAGATTCATTTTCTTTATTCCTATCATTAGCTGAAAGAGAAGTTTGTGTATTGTATTTGTCTGAGTCATCATCTTCCCTTTTCTCCAATTTTACATCACAAGTTGCTGGTGGCGGTGTGTATAGCTTTTGTTCCAAAGCCTTTGAGTTCCATTCTATGTCCCACTCTGATGCTATGTCTTGAAGTAACTGAAGCTTCATGTCCTTGCATGGTATTTCTCCCTTCAGCTTTTCAACAAACTAAATACCCAAAAAGAAAACATTTATATAGAGGCTCATTTCATTAATTCTTTAACAGTAAAATAGATGGATTAATGTTGAATTAAAACTACCTCTTTATTGACGAAAAAGTCGATGGATTTCCCATATCTATCGGTGAATATGGTTCTGAGATCACGCAATTCTGGCAAGTCAGCAAACCTTGCTGCTGCAAACATCAAAGTTGATACAGCTTCCTTGCAATCTTCAGGGCACTCTCTGAAAATTTATGTTTATATTCACACACACATAAAATATTATTATTTTCTTCAACATATTATAATGAAAATATATTGCGGTGCTTTTTGTATAATTCAGAGAGATCATTCAATTAACCATTTTTGCCACAAATTTAGCAAGTATAGCAAGTTAAGTAGTTTCAGCTAAATTTAGCATTAACCAACAGGCTGTAAAACTTAAAACCTCTAGAAATGGACTTTACCCAAAAAAAATAAAACCTCTAGAAATGGATTGGTACAAAATTGGCAATGAATTGCTTAGTAACATAGGTATAAAATGAATGATATTGTTTCCAAATATGCCTAAAGATATGGTGAGAAAGCACACTTATTCATAACAGCTACTCATAACGAAACATTTTACATACCTCTCTTTATTCATGACTGAAATATTGCTAGAGATCTGCTGACAATACTGCTCCAATAAATCATAACACCTTGATAGATTGAGTTCAACCAGAAGCCCTTCAGACTGTTTCAAATTTTCAATAGTATCATACACAAAAATGTAATTAGATGCTAATTAAATCCAGTCCTTTATAAAATAAAAATAAAAAAGAGATCCCCAAATGCTATATATATATATACACACACACACAGAAAAGATCAGATCCGGACGTTCGGACCTGAGCCTCCGTCCGAACACCGCCGTTTGGGGCGGTTCCCGGACGATTTTTTTAATGAAATTTTTATGGTATGTTCTTCATCAAGTCTAGTTTATTCAAAAAAAATTCAGCTCAAAATTCGACCAGGAAGACCTTCATATGATTTTGGCCTTCATATGATTTTTTGAAGTTGACTGTGTTTTTCTATGTATATTTTGGTGCAGTCAACTTCAAAAAATCATTTGAAAGCCTCCCCGATCGAATTTTGAGCTGAATTTTTTTGTGTATAAACTATACTTTATGAAGAACATACCATAAAAATTTCATCAAAACATTCGACTGGGAACCACCCGAAACGGCGGTGTTCGGACGGTTCCCGTTCGGACAGGACAACTTCTCTCTATATATACGATAGTACATTGAAAGAAATTGAGATTGCAAATCGAAAGAAATAACCACAATAAAAGAAGAAAAGCAAATAAAAAACATGCAGTATCATCAGATTGCATTTTTTTTTATCAGATTGCAAATTTTAATGGAAAGAGGAAACAAAACAGAGTCGAACAAAATCGAGATTGGAAAAGTGAATACCCTTCCGTATGCATTGACATCTAACCCCTTCATGAGAAGGTCGGCAATATCATTCTTGAAATACTTCTGCATTGCATTCCTCTTTTTCCGTATCAAATCTACCCGAGTTTTGGTCATCCTGATTCCTGTCTTGCTATAATAATAACAAACCACACTAAGATCAAATTAAATCCATACAAATCAAACTAAAAAAAAAACAGAAAATTCCTCATAATGGCGTTTATTATCAGCCATTCTTAATTCTTACCATTTGGAATAGAACTTTCCCTTCAGCCAAGCGTCTAACATTTTTTGTTACTCTCTTGGATAACCTAAAGCACAATAATATTTTACACAAGGGAAGGAATTAATACCCAGAGTTACACTGTTACAGAGATACTAGAATTGCGCGATAGGAAAATGCAGCCTAGCAACGAAAAGGATCAGCCGAATTTGAGACCTCTCTATGAAAGAAAAGAAAGGAACCTTTATGAGGCCGGTTGTAGTCGACGAAGAAAAAACGGCGAGTTTGAGTTGTGATCGAAGAGCTTCAAGCAACTTGCGGAAAATTTTGAAGCCAGAGAGTTGAAGTGAATGAATGGAGTTATGGAGCTCTAGCTAGCTGGCGGAGAAGCGGCAATGGAATGTGTCCGATCGCCGCAGCTGAGCACCATTTATTTATGGAGGAGAAGAGAGCGAGCGAGAAGCGGAATGGAAATTGCAACAGAGAATCTTTTGCGAAGAGGGGGAGAGAGAGAGAGAAATAAGCGCGAGTGGGAGGGAGAGAAAGACGAGAGAGAAAGCAGGGCTCTCCGCCACGTCAACACCCCACTTCCTTCCTGTTAAGGGTGCACTCATTCACCACAACTGTCTTTCTGTGAATTCCCCATCATACCCTCGTGTTTTGGGACGGTGGGGTAATTTTAGCGGGAGGGGGAGGGCAGAAAGAGAGAAGACCCGCTTAATTAGCTTCCTTATGGAGCACGATTGCGAAGTTGGCGGAGACGAGACGAGACGAGAAGCCACCGAGCTGTTGGGATTATTTGCACACTTTCTGTCTTAATCATTAATTATTACTTTATTATTACCTTTTCTATAGTATACTAATCAACATGGGATTAAGATTATTTTGAACAAAATATTGCAAAATGTGTGTTCCTTTAGACCATCTCCAATGATATATCGCTCACATTCATAAAATCATCACTGATATTAGGCTAACCACAAGATAGTCAATAAATCTAATTCCCCTTCAGTTTATACGTATTCACTCAGTCAATTCAGTTTTTTTCGGCAACCCTGCACCGTTAATATATCAATTCAGCACATTTTTTTAATCAAATGCATAAATCCATGGTTATTATATTACACATCATTTATGTATTAATTTTATTTTGACAAATAATTATAGTTTAAAAACACCAACATTCTGATGTACTAATTTGTTTGGAATTATTCCCAAGCTACAGCCAAGTTGAAAGCACCGCCTATATATCCCCCCCTTGGTTCCCCCTATTAGCACTAAGACCTCTCTATACAAAAAAATGTCTGGGTTGCAGCAGTTTTTGGGGTGAAAACCTCACATTTGGGGTTTTCACCCCTCCATTGCAATCAGCCTTACATCCGATATTTACGTTTCCAATGCAATATGTTTGGACTAATGTAATGCTGACATGTAAAAAATAATTGTAAAACATTGTTAACACGACTGCCATGAGATAACAGTCTGCTTGACATTGTTGACTCAGCAAACGGAGTGGAGGAATGCTCTTAGTTCCATCAAATATTGCTTACTATAATTTTATGATTGAAATTTCTATAGAGGAAAGAAAAATAAGGAGAACAACAAATTCATTATTTTAAAAGAATAGTAACAGAGTCTTTTGAATAAACAAAAAATGAAAAAAATGACAAAATCCAATGAGATGAAGAAAACATAAAACGAAAGGACCTGAAAATTATAGAGCCGTTAGAGAATTTTAAAATGAGCTGCATGTACACAATATGTTTACACGTTATAAGTACAATTTTTCTAAAATATACAATCGATGTGTACAAACAGATTTTTGCATTTAATTAAAATTTAATAAAAAGTTCTTATTCAATCATTGCTTTTGTTTTATACGGAGTCATTGATTTTAAATTGAGGTAATTACTTTTTACCGAAAGAATCGCGAGACTTGTATTACGAAGTATATTGATTGACAATAGCCAACCCGCATGGGTAGTTCAGTTGGTCGAGTGGTGGAAGATTTGGAACAATAGACCAAGGTTCGAATCTCCGCAGCGATCGGGTGGAGGTCACCGTACCTGAAATAAAGCTGGGCCTCTGGTGCGCATGGGTGTATGGGCATACTGCCATTCTGCTGACTGAGTCACCGTGACTAATCTCCCCACCATCCTGTCAGGTCGGGGTGGAGGCTCCTGGAGAGGGAGATTCCCACCTTTTGGAACAATTGATTGCCAATCGCCACAACGTACACATGTTTTCCACAAAAACGTCTCGTGTATCATTTTGTTTTGTGGATAGTTAACTCAATCAATCATTTATTGTATTTTGCTTAAAGGGTCAAATAGGTTCCTGTACTGGTCCTCTAACCTCAATTCAGTTCTTGAACTAAAACAAAGGGCCAATTCACACCTCGAACTGACAAAAAAGGCTTCAAATTTCATTTTTTAAGGTTAAACAACCCGTAAAAAAGGCCCAATTCACACCCCTAAATTACTAGTGTAAAATTGCAATAAATCGAAAATTAAAAACAGAAACAATTAAAAATTAAAAAATTGACCGGTTGTTTACCCGTAAAAAATGAAATTTGAACCATTTTTTATCGATTCGGCGAGTGAATTGAACTTTTTTTAATTCAAAGATTGAATTGAGCTTGCACGACCGTACATGGGGCTATTTAACCCTTTAGCCTTTAGCATATACGGACTATTTAACAACACTATTTCAATTCTTAATCTTGCATGCTCGATCAATTGAAATTCAAGTACCGTTAGTGGCTAGTTACTAGCTAGGAATGCATAAAATTACTCAACATTTAATTTTGATCTTTTTTTTATTATATATTCACATGTTTCATTATTGTATTGTTAATTGTGTAGGTAAGATTAAGGATATATAGTTTAAACACAATATCAACAATTTTAGCATATTTTAGCATATATAGATGGGGTTTAATGCATAAAATCTCCTTGTGATATGCAAATTCGGCGCATTAGTCCCTTGTGATTTGAAAAATACGTCAAACCCCCTTGTGTTTTAATTAATTATGCGCAAAATCCCTTCCATGATGAGCAAATTCAATTGTCAAATAAAAGAAAAATGATTAACATTTTTGTATGATTTAAAGATTTTGACATATTTACTTGCATATTCAATCAGAATATTAGTAAGAGTGATTTCCAAATTGTTAAATTTATTCAAAAAGGGATTCTGTGCATGATTAATTAAAACACAAGGGGGTTTGATGCATTTTTCAAATCACAGAGGGCTAATGCGCTGAATTTCTATATCACAAAGGGGTTTGGTGCATTAAATCCGGCTGAGAGGGAATAATGTTTGAGAAAAGAGGAAGCAATAAAATGTACAGAGTAATGTTTTTCGATGCATGGTTAATTTTTCATCTCTTTGTGTTTATTCAATAAGCTAATCCCTCTGTAAGGGATATTTGAATTTACTTCTTAAAACTGTTTCTGTTCTTTCAGGGAACAGAAGTACTTATGGGTGCTCCAGATTACTCTTAGAAACAGATTTTTAGCTAGAAGTTAGGGGAAATCACCTTCTGAAAAACTGATTCTAATTCTGCTTTTGCTTTTAAAAAAGAAGCAGAATCAGTTCCAAACACCCTCTAACATTCATATCTTCCTACTTTTCTTCTTCATCCGTAACATTCATATGTTGATATTTTCTCATTTAAAATTAGGTGAGATTAAGAATAGTGAAAGATTATATAATTTTTTGAGGCTATGATGGGAAGATAATGAAGTATTGTGTTAGAGTGAAGAATAAATCCAAAAAGGAATTTTATCAATTCAGGACCCGAAAGATAGATGAATTATTAATCTGGGACCTGAAAGATGATATGCATCGGTATATGACCTGAATGATGGAAAACTATCAATTTAGGACCTAACATTTCATAGATTTTGATTTATTTAATTTTTTATTAATTCCATTGCTTGTTTTGATGAAATTGTCTTTACAAATGTTTATTAGTTTAATAAAACTAAATGATATTTAAATTTTCAAAATAAAAAATTAATTAAATTCATGACAACTTAGGCCCTAGACCGATAATTTTAAATCATTCAGGTCCTATGATGATAGTTTTTCATCATTCAGGTCCTATGTCGATACATTTCATCTTTTAGGTCCCGGATTGATAATTCATCTATCTTTCGGGTCTTGAATTAATAAAATTCCATCCAAAAAAGTAGCTGTAATAGTGTATTATTTTCAAAATGATTGAGAATATGATAGAGAGATTTCAAAATTATTTGGGAAATTTGACTTTACACTCTCTATTGAGGATATTCCACCTTACATTCCATTTTCAAAAAATTATGACTCGTCACATTTAAAGGAATAATTGCTAGGAATCCCACAACAGATCAAACTCTTAGTTTATGGGCCATTATTTGTTTATTGTTGATGTTGTTTTGGGGTGACGGATTAACAATATGAAGGAGAACCGGAGAAGCACGTAATTCGAACCGGATGGATATATGCTAATTACTTGGTTCCAAAGCAACCGGCCAGCTAGCTTATTGCTTTCTTTCTAGCTAGGGTTGCTTCCATGCGCCACTCCATCGACAGCTCATCATTACAACATTTATCCAAGACAAGAAAACTCACTCATATTAGCTAGCTAGGATGTTAACCAACGCAGCATAAAATTTGATCTCGGATGTAAGGATGTTTTTATTTGGACTATAATTCGTCCCAGATCAGACCAGACCAGATCAGACCAGATCAGACCAGACCAGACCAGTTCAGACCAGACCAGACTTGGATAGTTATAAAAGTGCAAAGAAACCAGACCAGATCAGACCAGTTCAGACTAGATCAGATCAGTTCAGACTAGATCAGACCAGACCAGCAAATTACAGTCCAAGTAAAAACATCCTAAGTCATGATGTGCACCCCTTCACCCCGTACTAAAGCACATGAAAATTGTTTTCAGATAATCCATCATAAATATCGCGTCAAAAATTTCATGAACTAATTGTTGCTTCATAACAAAGAAATATAGACCGTTTAATTTAATGAGTCATATTGTTTTGTTTCATCGTATTATCAAGCAAAAAATAATAATGAGTCATTGGCTTCATTTTCGAAAAATATATATGATTCGATCTAAGAGTAGCTCACGCCCATTAATTGATTCTAGTTTGAACTATTCGGCAAATGCTCCCTTCGGCCTGAATAAAATTTAGTTAGAAAATCATACCAAAGACCATTAAATTTATAATTCGTCCTAATTATATGCTAATATCCTACACATCTATAATTTATTAGTGTTGAAGTGATCCAACTCAAGTGATCGGCAACAAACTCGTGGAAATTACCCGCATGATCACCTTTTATACTTGATATATCACTTATGTCCACCATCAAAATACTTTTCACATTCAACTTTCAAATTTTCACTTTTTAATTTTTATTTCAAAAAGAGTCTAATGGCCTAACCAAAATCGGACTCTGCATAGGGCTTCATCTCCCGAAATCTTCTCACCCTCTTCCCTATTTGCCAATCAATCTCCTCAACTGCTTCTCTCAATTTCACTTCAACCGCATCGCCTTAGCTCTCTCAATCCATCTCAACTAGTCTTTCTCCAATCTGCAATTCGATTGTGGAACATATGCTAGGGTTACCGGCACATGTTTTGTTCTTCTTCACCATCGCCTGGGGCTTTGAAAATCTTCAATTGATCCTTAGCTTATCAATCGTCTATTACCCGTTGCCTACCTAGTCCTCGACCGGCGCGACACCTCTTATGGCTCTCTGTGTGCCGCAGCTGGTCAATTTCCTGGTAGTCTAGATATTTTTAATTTGCTTTTCTCTATGAGTTTGAATTACTAGGGAGTTTTACTATTTAGTTATTTGATTATAAGCTTTATTTGAGTTTGAATTACTAGGGAGTTTTACCGTTTAGTTGTTTTATTTTAAAGCTTGTTTGGATAGGTTTTTATTTGCAGAAGATTATACTACAATGTTCTCAAAACTAATTTGCAATGAAGTATTACCAGGTTTTAGATTATTCTGCAAATGTGCTTTGCAACTAGTGTGATTGTTATATACTTAGTAGAACTTTAAAATGAAGATAGAAATGTTCAACCACATAAAAGAAAAGTTGTAGAGCAGTCCTTACAAATCTGGAGAATGATTAAAATTTATTAACTCTGGATTTTCATAGCAAACATATGTCTTCTAAATTATAGTGGGAATCTAACATAACTGCATTCTAGATAAACCTTATAAACTATGTGTTGAGTTGCACAATAGGAATAAGAAACTAGAAATGCTCTTCATAACTTTTGTTGGGGGTACCAATCTTGGCCTTCACTATGTGTTATCCGGGTATGACAGTCTTCAGAAGTTTGAGTTTAGGGTCTGTCCCTTTGAGGATAAGTCACTCTTGGCTAATCCTGCAAAGCTGGAGACAATATGATCCCTTTGGATGTCTTTCTTGCCTGGTAACTTTCAGAGTTTGCAAGCTGATAGCACAAAAGATGCCTAGGCTGAACATTGAGGTTATAGACGAAAGCTGATAGCACCAGTGAGCCTTTTGAGAAACTATATGTATATCGTTATTTTGTTGACCCAAGGTTTGATATGCCCTCGTTTGTTTGGAGGATGGATAAAGATCAGAAGAAAATGCACCTTTGAAGTTTTCTTATTGTCTTCCTCTGCATATTATATATGCAAAATAGGGAATGCTTTCTGTGATTGAAGAGCATGAGTGGATTGGGGAGGCAGATGATCCTGGATGTGTATTGGGGGGTCTGGTGCCCAATTTTATTTTGTACTGATGCCCATTTATTTTGTACAGCATTTATAGTGACTATTAAGATTAATACACATTTTAAGACAACAATTTCTTCTGTTTGTATTATTGTTATTATTTCGTATTATTTAGAGTTGCCCTGTTTTTTCATCAGTTAAAGATATAATACTTAAATGAAGTAATTGTATAACTTAATAAATATTCATTGCAATACTTTTATCTGTATTTTGTTGCTTTTTGTTTCTTTTTTGTGTTGCTTTTTGTTGCATTGTGTTGTTTTTTGTTGTATTTTGTTGATTTTTGTTGTTCGGGTGCGGTTCCGATAAAAACCATCCTTATCGTGCAAACCGTAAACCATCACTTTTCGCTCAATTTGATTCACTTTAAAGCTCATCTCTTGCACTTTTTGAGCTTTGGCCGAATCATGGCAAATACAAAAATACGGTGGTATTTTTGTAAATGAAGAGTAAACTGTAAAAGATGGATAGTAAAGCTCTAATTATTAATGTGTTGATGCATGCTAGTACTCAATGTTTTTGTTGCTTATTGTTTCTTTATGTTTCCATTTTTGTTTCTTTTTGTTGTTTTTTCACTACTAGATTTTTCATGTTTTCACACAAAGAATATTTGTAGGGAAATGTTAATTTTTGTAGCCAAAACATTTTGCAGACGAAAAAAATTTGTGGCGAGCTTTGTATTGAAATCATCGAAGCAAAAGAGTTTAGACGACAAAATTCCTAACTTTGTCAACTAAAGTATAGGCATACAAAATCTTGCTAGACAAATAAAATTTGTCACCTAAGTGTTTTTACCTCAACTATATTTGTATGCTCAAAATGTTTGTAGCAACAACAAATTATTGTATGGGAAGACCTTTGTAGGTAAAGTATACATTTGCCCACAATAAATTATTGTATGGCAAAACCTTTGTAAGTAAATTTTATGAGGGTGTTGGATAGAGAACAATGTTTTGTTGCCTAAAAAGAATTTTCACTACAAAACAAATTGTACGACTAATTATTGATCATATGAACAAATTCAAAATTTTCACTAATAACTTTTTATGATTTGTGTAGGGAAAGATCATATGAGCAACACATATTTAAACCAATGCATAATTAAATTCACTAACCCCAAGTCTCCAAATCACCTCAAAATGAAATATTACAATTTGAGTTCTAACACATACCTATCACACAACAATTTGAATTTATTCCCTACATTCTTCAATGTGATTTGCATCCTCTCTTCTGCCTCTCTACGAGCAGCATCAGCAGCCTTTCGTGCTGCTCGTTCTACCTCCAATTCACTTTCCAAGTGTTTCACTTTTTCGGATGTTGGCCTTGTCTCTCGAAGGCGACCATCTCCAAGACCATGGATTCGACGACCTGGTGTGGGACCTAAAACAGACATCATAATTTCAAGCCCAATATCAGGATCATCAACAGGTATCTCATTCAAAGGATTGTCTTCAGGAAGGTTATATTCCTTTGCCTTCTCTATGAGATATTCATTAGCCTTGGCAACCATTTGTTCCTATAAACACATCACAAAAGCATATACAATTTTCAGTAACAAAGTGATGAAAGAATTGCAAATGTATATGATGTAGTATCTTACATGTTGTTCTTTTGTTGCATCATTAGTCCAACATTTGTCTTTTCCTGCATATGTTAACTCAAACGCAGCAACTTCCGGGAACTTTGAGCCATCCTAGTATTCAATATAAATGTGTAAAGAATGACTTAAAAATTCTGGTGCAATTAAAATTATTTCTATAATTGGTTTATAATGATTTTTTTAGAAAACGTTGATCCAATAGGAAGTGAAATGACTAATTAGCAATCAGATGCATTCTCCACCTAACCTTATAGGTTAGAAGTCAATTTACAAATGGAATAGTTACTCACTCGGAAATATTAATATTCCTATATATTAAGAAATACAAATTAAAGAGAGTGCTGAATTATTATATCATTCAAAGAAAAAACAATTGCCCCAACTATTTTTTCAATTGATCCAAACAACCTCTACCACCCTAACTAGAGAGTTGAATGAAATTTAACTTGACATCCTACAAATCAAAACAATCAAAGTAATTACATGTACATAATTCTTGCACTAATTTACATAGAATAAACCATCAAGTGTGCTCATTAACTAAAATTTCTGTTTTTGAATGACAGAGACAAAGACTGAAAAATGAAATCTAAAAATGAGTCAGTGTATATTTTAAAATAACTTACCGCAAGCATATCCTCTACTATGTATGAGAGAGGACGTGAACCAGTATGATGATTATCCTTCTTATTAGAACGGTTACTAGTGTTTGCGGATGACGAATTCTGAAATAATGAGTAAAGCAGTGTAATATTAAATTACAATAAATAATCGAAGTAAAAAAAGTAAAAGTTATTACCTTGAATTTATCTGAGTTGAAATGGTTACATAACCATTCCCATTCATTAACATCTCTATCGACCATCTCTTCAGGGGGTGAAGCAAGTGCATTGGCATGCGTTTTACAAGACTTGTAATACTTACTCAGTTCTGCCTTGAATTCTCTGTACCTTCCATTGTATAACCTGTTTATGTATTCCTTAACATCTGGATCTTCAAAGTTTATCTTGAAATTTGTCTGATAATAATGTATAAAAGTTAGATCAATACAAATAATATGAAATGCTATTGTACCAACACACCTACAATACAAGACGACACCCAACTGTAGCGATAAAAGCTTGCAACAACAACATCTAAGCCATAAAGCTTTAAAGCACCAAAATAAATGAAAATATATAGATCAAAGGGAGTACGTCTCATGTAGTTAGCTCACCGTGATCTCATCCATAAGGTCTGTTCTATTTTCGAGAGAAATTTTCCCCCAAAAACCTGTATTCATGGGACAATGTGATCGAATGATAGCTCCAACATCATGAACGAGGAGGCTATGTATCTCAGCACTTGTTGCCCTCCTGGTAACTTTGTTGTACGGAACTTCAATTCTGTGCTTACTAAGACGAACGAGACGAGATGTCTTTATTTGTTTACAAGGTCCTCGCCCATGGTTGTCAACCTCAGTTCTTGGCAATTCCCCTGCATCTACTCACATTAACAATGATGAGTTTAAAAGTTAATTTAAATTCGTATATATTATGTCTGTGTTTGTAGGTGTTTGTGTTTCTTGGGGCGGGGGAATTTTAAATGCCAGCCTAATATATATCATACCATCCTCTATTTCAACTTCATCGCTTGATGATATAAAAGTGTTTTCTTCAGTTCTGTGCAGCCCATAACGCTCTGACTCACCTATTGTGACATTTTTAAAAACCACATAAATCTTATCAGAAGTATTGACAAACTAAAACAATGACTATAATCTAATGTACTACAAGTTTAGGCCTTTCTAGGGACATGTTACTATGCCTAACATATATAGCCATATTTGTAATGCACTAAAAGTATAGGCCTTTCTAGTTACATTTCTCCTTTATTCCAAACTACAAACTTTACTCCATTTACAATGCATCCTTGATATGTTTCTGCTCGTAGAGGCCCTCTTGCTAACTCAAATAGCTCCTCATTATACAGTGAGGAATTTTCATCTCCTAATCTTCGAACCTAACAACATTTCACATAACAAATACCCATTATATGAACTGGTAATCTAGAAGTAAGGCTTACTAGATGCTCGCAATTACTGGAACTAATACGTTACTAACCCGTTCACGAAACCAAGATGGAAATAATTTTCTGTGTATGTTATCTATGTTCACACCATTTCCGAGCATCACCATTGCCTTGTGCTCCCTACACCAAAACAACTTAGTGTATTTGATATAGATATAGATTTGTATATAAGACTAAAACATTGATAATACTTACTCTAAGAATGGAATAACCTCATCACAATTGGTCAGTATGAACCAATGAGCAACCTCCATATCACTACTAGAAAATGGAATGCTTGAACAACTCATTATTGGGCGGGAAGGTTGTGCAAAAACAGAAAGTTTCTCGTGCCTAGGACCACCATCAAAGTTTCGTTCACTCTTGTTGAATGGTGTCTCCACTTTGTGGAGATACATTGCACAAAAGTTCAGAGATTCTTGGGAGACGTAAGCTTCGGCAATTGATCCTTCAGGTCGAGCTTTGTTACGCACAAATTTTTTGTATCTTCCGAGCATCCTATAGTTGATACAAAGGAAGGTTGTTAGAAAATTCAACTACTTGCTAATCAATACTTCCTTCGTTCTTAAATAAATGCATCATGTTGAATTTTACACTATTCACATGTTTACTTTGACTACGCTTTATTTATTAATTTATTAATAAATTATTATTTTTAAAATACTAGTAAATTTTTCTCATTATACATTTTCAAAATCTGATTTTTTTTTAACTTTTTTTACTAATAGGGAATACTATATATTAATGGTCAAAATTGTGAATCAACAAACGTGAAAAGTGGATTGTTGCATTTATTTAAGAACGGAGAAGTAATATTAATTTCAAAATAACTTTAAAAGTTAACTGTAAGTACAAACCTTTCTATTGGGTACATCCACCGTTCAGTCACGGTACCTCCTTGTCTTGCTTCTTCCGGTAAATGCACCATTAAGTGAATCATAGAAACAAAAAACGATGGGGGGAATATTTGTTCAAATTTGCACAATATGTAAACAATCTCATCTTGCAACTTTTGAATATCCGCAGTGCATATTGTTTTTGAACACAACTGCTGGAAAAAACTGGACAACCGAACAATTGGGTCAACCACTTCCTTGGGTAGGTACTTTCGGATACCAACAGGAAGTACTCTCTGAAGTAAGACATGATTATCATGACTCTTCAAGCCTGTGATTTTTCCAGTGTCCAATGCCACATTTTTTGAGATATTTGCAGCATATCCATCTGGGTACCTCACTGATTTCAGAAACTGCAGAAACTCTATCTTGGAATTTGGCTTCATGGCAAAAAACGGGTGTTTTTTAACCCATTTGTCCCCATTCCTCTGTAGCCATAATGATTCTCTTATTCCCAGTGCTTGAAGATCTTTGCGAGCTTTGAATGTATCTTTAGTTTTCCTCTCTATGTCTAATATTGTGCCAAGAGTTATATCACAGACATTTTTCTCTATGTGCATTACGTCTAAATTATGTCTGATAATTAACTTTGACCAATACTCTAACTCAAAAAATATGCTCTTTTTCGTCCAGTTTCTTTGTTCAGGAGTCCTCTTCCTCTTTTTGTTAGGGTTGCATGGGTGTTTTCCTATCTGTCCAAACTCTAAGCTCTCTACTTGTGATAAAATTTCCTCACCTGAGAGTTTCTTAGGTTTTGCACGAAACTCTGGTTTTCCATCGAAAGACTTCTTGTTTTTACGCCACACGTGATTTGTAGGTAGCCAACGCCGATGTCCCATAAAACAAACCTTGCCACCAAACCACATAGAAGTCCCATCATCATTACAGTTAGGACATGCATTATAACCCTTGGTGCTCCATCCAGATAAATTCCCATAACCAGGAAGATCACTTATCGTCCAAAGCACTGCAGCATGTAGATTGAAAATGGAGTTTGAGACCTTATCGTATGTTGGCAAACCTGTTTCCCATAATTCTTTCAACTCCTCTATTAGAGGGCGCAAATAAACATCAATTTCCTTACCAGGTTCTCGCTTACCTAGAATCAATAAGGTCAGCATTGTATATTCTTTCTTCATGCACATCCAAGGAGGCAAGTTATATGGAACAACCATCACTGGCCACATGCTATACGGTGTTCTGATGTCTCCAAACGGGTTAAAACCATCACTTGCAAGTCCTAATCTAACATTTCTGGGCTCTTTCGCAAAATCGGCATATGCTTTGTCTAACTCTTTCCATGCTATTGTATCTGCCGGATGCCTCATAATACCGTCCTCAACTCTTCCATCTTTGTGCCATGTCATATGATCAGCCGTATGGTGCGACATGTAGAGCCGTTGTAATCGCGGTTTTAGTGGGAAATAACGTAACACCTTCTTGGGATTTTTTTTACCATTTGAGTTCAGCTCATATCTTGGCTCTTTACACACAGGACACTCATCTAATTGTTCATTTTCTTTGTAAAACAAAACACAATCATATGGACATGCATGGATTTTTATATATCCAAGTCCAATATTTTTCAGAACTTTCTGAGCATGACGGTGACTAGTAGGCAACTTATTCCCTAGAGGAAGCATCCTCTTCAAAATACCCATAAGTTCATCAAAACATTTGTTAGTCATTAGGTTTTTGACTTTTAATTGCATCAACTCCACAATTGACGTTAGAACTGAAAACTCCTTACAACCTGGGTAAAGTTCATCTTGCGCTTCTTTCAACAGCCTTTCATACTTCTCAATCTCTTCACTAAAAATGTCTGGAAGATATTGATCCTCTGCAGCAGCATCATGGAATGCATTACTTTGTTCAGCACCATTTTTATCGCATCCAGGGTGTGTGGCATACGGATATAGATCATTTATAATATCCATAACTTCATCATTATGGCTATTTGTATCCTTACTGACACTAGAGTTATCAAACAAGTTAGCACTCGAAGATCTTAATCTTGTTTCCATTCGTTCACCATTATGAGTCCACACAGTATAACTGTAAGACATACCATTAGTTATAAGGTGTACTGTAATTTGTCTTAATGTCATCCAACCACAATTATTGCACTTAGTGCATGGGCACCTAGCAAGGCCTCGATGATTGACATGCTTCTTTGCAGCTTCAACAAATTCAGCAATACCTAATTTATATTCAGCACTATTCTTGTCTGGATTTTGTATCCAACCTCTATCCATAGAAAAGGTATGTGTTTTTATAACAAGATCTGACACTTTTACATGTATGAAGTTAGAAAATTGTAATAAAAATTCAACCAAAACATAAACACTAAAGTTTAAGATGACATTCTGTGACTAAGTATTTGTAAACAATAAAAAGTGTTAAGCATAGTAAATGTGGACTTACCTTTGTTACTTGGATTGAAGGAAGCTCTAGCACTATTAAAATTGCTCTTCACTCCTGTGGAATATAGAAAACATTGATCAAAATAACACAATTAACTTTATTCCCTTTTACACTAATTTATATAGCATGAACATTTAATGAAAACTATGGTGAATAGTGACAACTCAAAGGAAAGACCTAGTTTATAAGCATAACTATTTAGATAACACATGAATCTTACGATAATTAAAATTAAAATATATAAAAAGAGTGATATGCTTATGTTGCTTAATTAGCTAATGTTATCATATCTAACTATTAGATTTAGTGCATATCTTCTTTTCTCCTCATTTTCATTATCAATAAAAGATATTCATTGCAATTAAATCAAATAGTAGTAAATAATTATGTGCAAATCCAGTTTGTTGAATATACAAAGTATATGTATGATGCAAAAGATAGAAACAATTTGAAAGCTCATTAGTCTTTTGAGTAAATTTCCTAAATAGGAGTAAAAAAGTTTTGAAATTCCAAAATAGGAGTATCATGTTTTTTATTTTCTAAATAGGAGTAAATTTCTGCCAAGTTAGGCATTACTAATAAGCTTTTAAACATGGCATTTTTTTCCAAACTTGGCAGATTACTCCTATTCAAGGAATAAAAAACATGATACTCCTATTTTGGAATTTCAAAGTGTTTTTACTCCTATTTAGGGCAATTTCTATAGTCATTTTTTTAACAACAATTGGGCACATCCGCGCATGGTAAAGTGAATTCAAAACTTGTAGAATTCAAACATTGTTTAAATAAACAACAGTGAAGCATAGATAATAAATTAAAAAGTACTCGAATCACACAAAAACTAGCCAAGTTTTATTTATGATCCTCAACTGCAGCGGCTTCTTCTAAGGTTTGACCTTCCACTAGCTGAGGCACATCATCATCGTCTTCTTCAGTAGCAGCTGCGCCGGTACCTGGGATAGGTTGTTTTTGAAAGTGTACTGCCAACATGCTCATTAGTCAGATTTAATAAATATGATTTGTAGCAAATGGACAGAATAAAAACTCAATTAAATTAACAACAAAAAATAGGAAAAAATAATGAACACCCAAAAAAACTCAGGTGAAAGTGTACTAAAAGCACCACTCAATTGCCTCTGGATATTCCTCTAGGGTGATCCATGTCAAGGGGTGATCATTATGTTCTCCTTGGCTTATACAAGATAGGGTACAAATCACACAAATATACCTTAAATTTTTAGTCACTACTCACTAGTCATATTTTGGCTTAGGATTTTTATCAAACACCTTGGCTACAGTTTATCAAATTAATAATTGAGTGAAACAACAAGAGGATATTATATCATTCCTAAGAAAGCATAGCAAACAACAATCTCATTAACAATCTAACAATAATAATATAGTCAACAGTCTAAATGATAATCAACCACAAAAAGTATAAATGTAATTGATGAAGTGTCATAGAATTCAGAGTACTAAGACTTAAGAAAGGTGGATGACCTCCAACAGTGAATGAATGTATAAGAAAAAGTCGTGGAGTGAATCATAACTAAAACGAATATAAGCTTGCGGAATTTGAAAACAGAATGACTATCCATGACCATCAAATACTAAGATTGAAATACGTATTTAAAGAAAACACTAGCTCCAAATCCAAATAAAGTACACAAATAAAAGTTACTGTTTAATTCAACCGTAAAAGTGATTGTTTACCTAAGGAAAGAATTGATCCATGGGAACCTAGAGTAAAAGTTCTTCTAATTGTGGCCTGCTTGATTCAACTGTAAAATTGATTTCTGAGCACGCCAAGCATCAGCGGAGAGAAGCTATAATGTATTTCTTGAGATCGAAGAACTCTGAAGGAGTCCGATCGAGTGCAGTTATGATAGAGCAGAGCAGTTAACGTAACTCAATAGGAGTCTTCATTGGATTAGGGTTTATTTTGGCGCAAATTAGCAATTACTTTGGCGGTAGTTTTTTAATTTAGAGAAGGGATAGGAGAACGTAGCTGGCGGCAACCCTTCTAATTAAAAAAATTTGAGCCAAAATTGATCCAAATTTTTACTCTGAATGTGCGCATATCATTACTCAAGTTATTTTGTTTCTTCCTATTATTCTTTCTATACTTAAGTTTTTTATGTACTACTTCATATTTCATTTACAAAATATATATACTTTTATTAAGGATAGCATATAAAAGCAATTAATAATTAGGAATTACAAAGAACATGTTTAATTAGTAACCTCTATTTTCATTCAATCAGTCTTATTAGTCAACTTTTGTATCAAACACGTAATTTTGATTTCGCGGACTAGATTGTGTAATAATCAAAATATGTAAGGTTGAAGTTACTTTTATGGCTGAATTGGCTGGAGCTACTAACGACGATGATCTTAGCTATTTTAATCGATCGACATTTTTCTTCATTTTATCAATAAAACTAATTGTAAATATATTTTTCATAATTCAATAGTCAATTCAGTCACATCAGTTACATTTCAGCATATTTAGCTAGCCAATTAATAATGAAAAAAATTATATAAAATGTGTGTTTTTTAACATTCATGAGTGCAAGCCCCCAACTAGCTCTCGACAATGTAATTTTTGGATAAAATTAAAGACGTGTTTCCTAGTATTGCCATTTCAAATTCATAAAGATTTTTGTTGGAAAACTCATGCAACGACGACTCAGATTGTATTATTACTTGGGGAAAATTATGTTTCCTTTTTTGAAAGGGAAAATAATTATGTTTCCTTACGCATTAAATTTTAAATGCCAATCACTTTTGTAAGTAGGGTAGCTCAACAAGGTATATTTTTGTGTAGATAATGAGTTTTTTTCGACATTAGTATTTTGGTTGGAAAATAATTAAATATTCATAGCAAAACTACTATTCCCACAAATTCTTTTTTTTGAAGTGACAAGCGTTGTTAGACTACAAATTTAAGTTTGTGTGCTAACAACTTTGTGGGGAAACCTCTAGCGCCATAAAATATTTTTTTGTCTAGGAAAGGCGCTTTTGTAGACAACTGTATTTTGTATGAGAAAATAATAGTTGTAGTTAAAGTATTGCGCCCACAAATGAGTTATTTTGTCATTAAAAGATACATTAAGCTACAATTTTTTTTTGTATGTGGAAATTTTGTAGGCTAAGCATGTTTTTCTAGTAGTGTTTGTTGAATCTTGTTTCTAATTATTGATTATTTTCATTTTTTGATTTTATTTTTATTGTATCATGTTTATTTTTATCGCTTCGAAATGCAAAACATATGTGCATGCTTGTATGCTTGTGTGTAGAAACACACAAACCAAAAGGATAAACTTAAATCTATGAACTGAATAACAAGAAACATAATTAAACGATTAAAAACAAAATTTGCAAATTTATCAACAAAAAGAAACACAATGAAACAATTTAAAACAAAAATTTAAAAATTAGCAACATAAAGAAACACAAGAAAACAATAGGGAACAAAAACTTACAATAAAATGATAATAATGGTATTTTTTTAAAAATTTTAAGTACTTTAAGAAATATTGATTTTTTTAAATATTCAATTTTCAATTTTTTGAAGTTCTCTAGGTTAGTATGTTATATTTTTATTGTCTGAGTTTGTTTTAATTTTACACACTTGTAGGTTACATTTATTTTTATTTTTTTTTAATTTTATGTAGTATAATTTTTCTTACTACATAAATTTTTATTTAAAATTTTATAATTATTTCAATTTTTATATATTTATTTGATATTTTATTTTTAATATGCATATTTTCCATTCTTCAAGATAACCAGTTCACAAAAGCATCTAATTACTTTTATATTTCTTATTATTTTACCTATTTTATACGAGTACCTTTTTATTAATCTTTTTGATTTTTTACTATTCACAAAGTTACATAATCAAAATCATATTTTGTACCTTTTTACAATTTCTCTACATTTTAAACTATTTTTAATTTTTTATATGTTTGTTTTCAAGTTTTTATTTTAAATGTTTGTATAAGTTTTATATTTCCATTTTTTTAATTTACATTCATATTTATTTTTAAAATTTAATTTACATGTTTCCAATTTTTTCCTTTTTAATTGTTTCCGTAATGATTTTTTATTTATTTCAAAATTCAATAATTTTTTTAGAATATTATGGTATATATTCTAAGCATTTTTTTTTTTAAATTTTTACATTTTTGTCTTTCAATATTTGTTTTTTTACATTTTTTATTTTTCTATTGAAAAATAAATTTAATGGTTGTTACACTTTGCACTACGTATTAGTTTTTGAAAGAGCCGGTAGCAATTCAAACCTCACGCGCGTGCTCCTTGGAAGATAAGATAATGCAGTAAGGTAAGTGTGTTTAACGGTGATGGTCTATTTTTGAAAGTTTTTTTGTTAAACAGTGTACGTTTGAAAAAAAGTTTAAGTGGTTATAAAAGTGATATTATTTTCATTTTATGTCTATTAGTGAAAATTTCCCAACAAACTCTCCCTTATGAAAGACACGCATCAGCCCGTACAGGCCCATTGGCCTCTAAGCACCTCGTCCTGGATCTGTCATTATTATGGCATTACTAAAAATGTTGATAGATTTTCAACCGGTGATGGGAGCTGGTGGTGCTGGGGGTGGCACAGGTGGCGACGTTTTTTTCTCTTTTTTTTTTTATTTTTTTTTTATTTTTTTATAAATATTTTATAATTTTTATTATTTTTCTACGTTATTATTATTATTATTATTATTATTATTATTTTTATTGTTTTATTATTAATCAAGACATTTTAAAAGTTACAAGGATATATTTGTCCAAATACACATACAGAGTCCTACTGGGGAAATTAAACGACGTAGTCCTATTTGTGCTATTGGACCACTTTTTTGACCTATTTAGGTAATTAACTTATCTAATTATTTAATCACCCAATGTGCTTACATAAACAATAGAGAAATTTTACAAAATAGGACTATTACTTATCAAAATTTCAAAAATAGGACATCCACTTTCCCCCCGACTCGCATAGGACCAAATATGCGCTGAATTGCCAAAAATGACCTCATTAAACTGATACACACGTACTCTTCCCTCATTGACGGTTAATTCTTTCTCCTTACGGCTATTCCCGGTTTCCAAGCATCCATTATCATCATGCAGCCGAAAAAAAGATTCCAAATTAAATGAACATGTATCCGGAGAACGGTTGAGAGCTGCGATTGAAGAGACCAGTCATTCTAAGACGATAAAAAGTGCACTTCGATTCAAAACTTCAAAGCACAGAGGTAGTAAACCTTCGTCTTAGACGACGCTCAAATTTGAGGAGAGTCGAATCGTTGAGTAGAGTTGATGGACAGAGCTATGGATTTGTCAAACAAAGTTTCTGTCAGAATCAATTCCGAAATAGTAAGTAGTAATTTCGTAGAGGAATGTCTGAAATTGACAATAGTTTGACAGTTAAAGGAGTTTAGAACGTTTAAATCGTTTGAATGTAAATAGGTTTTACATTTGCCACGAAAAATATCAAATCATGAACTGTATGTCATTAAGAGTAAAGTAAATGACATTTTTAATAACATTTCATTGCATTATGGTGTTATATGGTGGCATTTTAAGTGTGTATGAAGACTATGGTTACATTTTGTGTGAATTAGTGATACTTTATGAATATGCGTTAGTTTGAATTAGAACTTCAGAATCTGACGCATAAATGACAGTTTAGTGAGAATTTAGCAGATCATTTTTAGTTTGTCATGTTGTTATACAACAGAATAGTGCAAAATAAAGAAGTATATGGTGACATTTTGTATGAAAAGTGACATTCCACTAATATGTGGTTATATAGTGGGGTTGTAAGTATGTATCATTACTGTGATGACAATTTGCATGAAATAGTGACATTTTATGAATATGTCTTAGATTGAACGGAAATTAACACTACATTGAATTGGAAATTAAAAGTCTGACGCATAAATGACAGTTTAGTGAGAATTTAGCTGATCATTTTTACTTTGTCATGTTGTTATACAACAGAATAGTGAAAAATAAAGAAGTATATGGTGGCATTTTGTATGAAAAGTGACATTCCACTAATATGTGGTTATATTGTGGGGTTGTAAGTGTATCATTACTGTGATGACAGTTTGCATGAAATAGTGACATTTTATGAATATGTCTTACATTGAACGGAAATTAACACTACATTGAATCGGAAATTGAAAGTCTGACGCATAAATGACAGTTTAGTGAGTTTTTAGTGTGTTATGTTGTTATAAAACAACATAATGCAAAATAGAGAAGAATATGGTGGCATTCTGAATGAAAAGTGAAATTGCAAGAATTATCACAATTTATGGGAAAGTATGAAACTGGCAAACTAATTACTTAGGTAGTTAATATTACCATGTTATTTATGAATGTCTTGACTTGAATGACAAAATATTTTACAAATTGATTATAATGCCTATATTTGTGTGAACTTGACAGACAATAACAAGAGCTTTTAAGAAGTTAGTGTTAGTGGACTTGGAAAACTTGTGTGTCAATTCTTACTGCAATGTTGCTGAAGTTCTTAAAAGAATAAGGACATTTCTTAGCACTGAGGAACTGACTGATTTCAATAACACCATATTTGGTTGGATGTTAAAAATTGAAGATATGTCTTGGAATAGTGGACAACTACTGTTAGGATTTGTTGGAAACTATGTCACTGAAGTTAATGGAAATGCAGATGACAGTGTCATCAGATTTCATATTCAAAACAGTGTAATCAGTTTTCAAAAGGCTGATATGGCAACAATGTGTGGTTTAAAATTTGGGAGTCTGAAGCCAAATATTTCAGAGGAGCCTGAGGGAGATATATGGAGAAGATATTTTGGGAACAAGGCTACAGTGTCCCGTGCAGATATCCAAAATGCATTGAAGAGTTATGAGAGCACTGATGAAGGAAGAATGACAAAGGATGGAGTGAAGCTGGCTCTACTACACATATTGTCCCA